GCAGGTTGCCCAGGGCTACACCGGCAGGACAGGCAGCCCCTGGGGTCCCGCGCAGCTCCCTGGGGATATTTCCCCCAATTTCTTCCAAGGAGCTGGAATCTGACACCGGAGTGGAGAAGGGAGGGAGGGGGGAGAAAAAAAACCACTGGGAGGATGGAAATCAAAGCAAAGCAAAAGGGAACTTTTCTTTTCTCTCTCTCCTCTCTTCTTTTTTTCCTCCTGTCATTGAGAAATTGGCAATTAAAGGTTGCATTGTAGCCTAATTGCTTGTCTGATTGAGCTGTAATAAAAGAACCCTCTGAGCAGTCTGAAGTATTTAAAGGGAAGAAATTACCCAGGGGATAAAAGCCTTCGGATCCTTCCCGTAAACAGCGTGCGGGAGGACGGGGAGATGGAGGGGTAATTGACTTCAGCTTTTGTTGCTGGGGGGGAGAAGGGGGTGGTCTTGTCACATCCAGCCTTTAATGTTTTAACTTAATTTATAATAAAGCTGTTTATTTGCTTTACGGGAGCTGAGAAGTGACATTTCGAGTTGAGCTGTCCCATGCAACCCCCTTTGCTGCCTGGATGGGGAAACTGAGGCAGGGAGGGGTGGCCTGGGTAAGGTCTCGGGGGGGGGGCTTGGGGGCAGCCACGGCCCCTGCGGGGTTGCTCACTTGCTTGTTTTCCTGCAGGCTGTGCAGCTGGGCCCTGCTCAGGCTCCTGAACCGCCTCTTCCTCAGCGTGCAGCTCCACCGAGGGCAGCTGGAGATGGTGCTGCAGGCCGCCAGGACGGTAGGGAGCCCAGCGAGGTGCGCTCGGCCCCGCGCCTCGCCATCAGCACAGCGGGCGCTGAACCCTGGCCGCCTTCCTTGCAGCCCGGCGTGCCGCTGGTTTTCCTCTCGACGCACAAATCCCAGCTGGATGGGCTGCTCCTGTCCTTCCTCCTCTTCTCCCAGGGGCTGGGAGTGCCCAGGGTGACGGTGGGCGGCCAGCCCTGCAGCCCTCACCTCCGGTAAGGCACGGCAGATGCCCGCTGGAGCCTGGCAGGTGGCCAGCTCCCTGCATATGGAAGAGGGAATTGCGCTTACAAAGCCCCTGGGCCGGCATGGGGAGCAAGGGGGACGTGACCCTGTGCAAGGTGGGTGACGGTGGTGTCTTCTTTCCCCTGCAGAGCCTTGCTCGGCCGCCTGGGAGGGATTTTCCTGCCTTCGAGGGTGGAGCAGACACCGAGCGACCGGGACGAAGGGCTCCCGGGGGCTGTCCTGGCCGCGGTAGGTCCAGCCTGGGGTGCTGGGAGGGATGAAACATCCCCCCGAGCTCCGAAAGCGCTCGGCAAAGGCGTCTAGGGGTGTCTCGACCCCGGGCTGGCCAAGCCTTTTGGCTGTGCATCCCCGGGGTGCTGCCGGTACCCCCAGCCTCACCCCGTCTCCCCCACCAGTACGTCGGGGAGGTGCTGAGGAGCCGACAGCCTCTGCTCATCTTCCTGGAAGAGCCCCCCGTCGCCCTGCGCCTCTCCGCCCCTGCCCGCGAGTGGCTGGCCCTGGTCTACCGAGCCGTGCGGGACGGCGCCGTCCCCGACGTCCTCCTGGTGCCCGTGGGCATCGCCTACGACGTGGTCCCTGGCGGTTTGCACCGGGAAGGAGCGGTGAGAGGTCTTGCCGGTGTGGGTGCAGCACCCAAATCGCTCGGTGTGTCCCTGGGGAGCGGCGCTTGCCCGCCATCACCCCATTAACGCTTTGGTCCCCTCTCTTCCCAGCACGGTGCTCAGCCCCTCGGCCTCGGTGCCTGCCTCTGGGCAGCGTGCCGGGCCATGCGCCGAAACCTTGGCTGTGCCCGGGTGGACTTTGCCGAGCCCTTCTCCTTACAGGTACGGCAGCGGGGTTTCCAGCCGGGGCCCCTGGCTGGATCTGTCTCGGCCCTGGAGGGTTTATTGCCGTGATGTTGGCGGCTTGGACTGAGGGCTTTGGGGTGGCTGGAGGGGATCCAGTGGTCTCCAGGGGATCCGGTGAGCCCACCTTTAGGGGAAGCTGGGGGGTTCCTGGGGCAATGGGGCAGCGCTCGTGGGCCCTGGGGACCCAAGGGATCGAGTCAGCCCTCGGTCCCCTGGGGACCGAGGGCTGCGAGCCCGCGCAG